ATTATTAAACATTGTTTGGACCTTTTACTTGTGTCTGGCTCCTTTAAGGCATCTGGTTCACGACAGAGCCATCACAGTTGGAGTAGTGTCAAACTGCATTCATTGTACAGTGTAGATGCACCCTTGGAAACCCAACTTCTTTGGCATCACATGAGAATCTGCCTTGTGCCCCTCCTGGTCCCCCCAACCCAGTATTGGCTGCTTTGATTGGCAGCAAGGCCACTCTCCTGAGATTTCTGGTGAGCTGAAAACTATTTTTTATTAAATGCCTGGCTTTAAGGAGTGCCTAGTAAACGTGCAAGAGTTTGCACATTTAATAGGCACTTTTGCATCTTGCTAGCTTCTGCTGAGATTTTCTGCAACAACGTCTTGCCATCACTCTGTGAAATTGATGTTTAGTTCAGAAGGTCACTAAAAGAGAAATACTAATTAGGGGTTGGATGGGAATTTTTCAAGAGTGATTTTGGGTGCAGCTATATTGCAGAATTGATGAAGTTTGACACACTCTTAGTGTCTAGATCTAGGGAAGTCATGCTCCCCATGCTCTATTCTGCTTTGGTTAGACAACACCTGGAATATTGTGTCCAATTCTGGGCACCACAATTCAAGAGAGATATTGACAAGCTGGAATGTGTCCAGAGGAGGGCGACTAAAATTTACTGCTTCCATGGAGATTAGGACAAGGAACAATGGCTTCACACTACAAGAAAGGAGATTCCATCTGAACATGAGGAAGAACTTCCTGACTGTGAGAGCTGTTCAGCAGTGGAACTCTCTACCCCGGAGTGTGGTGGAGGCTCCTTCTTTGGAAGCTTTTAAACAGAGGCTGGATGGCCATCTGTCAGGGGTGATTTGAATGCAATATGCCTGCTTCTTGGCAGAATGGGGTTGGACTGGATGGCCCATGAGATCTCCTCCAACTCTTTGATCCTATGCTTTCACTGCCAGGGCTCATTTTTTCCATCATTTCCAGATGGAACACCTCATGAGCAGACATGAGAGAAGCCTCCCACAGGATGGTAACACATCCGGGCATCCCCCAAGCAACATCCTTGCAGACAGCCAATTCTCTCACACCAGAAGCAACCTGCAGTTTCTCAAGTTGCTCCTGACATAAAAAAAAAGATGGAACACCCAATGTTTGGAGAACATAGGAATTATCATCACAAACATCCAGATTTCAATTGGAGAAGGCTGTGCTCTTCCAGGAAAACTCTACCAGGTTGTGTTGGATCATACCTTCCATCATGCTCAGATGGGACACCCAATAGTTGGAGATCATGGAAGCTGTAGACCAGGGTTTCTCAACCTTCCTAATGCCACGATCCCTTAATTCAGTTCCTCAAGTTGTGGTGACCCTCAACCATAAAATTATTTTTGTTGCTACTTCATGTCATCTGTACGCGGATGATGTCCAACTCTGTCACTCCTTTCCACCTGCTACTAAGGAGGCTGTCGAGGTCCTGAACCGGTGCTTGGCCGCTGTGACGGTCTGGATGGGGGCAAACAAATTGAAATTGAATCCAGACAAGACAGAGGTACTCCTGGTTAGTCGCAAGGCCGAACAGGGTATAGGGTTACAGCCTGTGTTGGATGGGGTCGCACTCCCCCTGAAGACGCAGGTTCGCAGCTTGGGTGTGACTCTGGACTCATCGCTGAGCCTGGAACCCCAGGTTTCGGTGGTGACCAGGGGAGCATTCACACAGTTAAAACTCGTACGCCAACTGCGCCCATACCTTGGGAAGTCTGACTTGGCCACGGTAGTCCACGCTCTGGTTACATCCCGTTTAGACTACTGCAACGCTCTCTACGTGGGGTTGCCTTTGAAGACGGCTCGGAAGCTCCAATTAGTCCAACGCTCGGCAGCCATGATACTAACAGGAGCGGAGCACAGGGAGCATACAACTCCTCTGCTGCACCAGCTCCACTGGCTGCCGATTTGCTACCGGGCTCAATTCAAAGTGCTGGCGTTGACCTATAAAGCCCTAAACGGTTCTGGCCCAACCTACCTATCCGAACGTATTTCTGCCTATCAGCCCGCCAGGACCCTAAGATCTTCTGGGGAGGCCCTGCTCTCCATCCCGCCTGCTTCACAGGTGCGGCTGGCGGGGACGAGAGACAGGGCCTTTTCTGTGGTGGCCCCCCGGCTGTGGAACACCCTTCCTATGGAGGTTAGATCAGCCCCCTCGCTAATGGTGTTTCAAAGAAGGTTAAAAACTTGGATGTTTGAACGGGCATTCGGATCAACAGTGCAATGAATGTGATGATTACAGGAATGGAAATATGGATGACGAATTGGATCATGACTCTAGTTATGAGATGTATTACGCTGTCTTATTGTTATGTCAATTTTGTATACTATGCTCTTATGGTTTTAAATTGTTTATCACTGATTGTTTTTTATCCTTGTTGTAAACCGCGTTGAGTCGCCTGTTGGGCTGAGAAACGGCGGTATACAAGTAAAGTAAATAATAAATAAATAAATAAATAACTGTAATTTTGCTCCTGTTATGAATCGTAATGTAAATATCTGATACGCAGGATGCATCTTCATTTACTGCACCTAATTTGGCACAAATACCCGATATACCCAAATCTGAATACTGGTGAGGTTGGGGGTGGGGGTGATTTTGTCACTTGGGAGTTGTAGTTGCTGGGATATATAGTTCACCTACAATCAAAGATCATTCTGAACTCCACTAATGATGGAACTGAACCAAACTTGGCACACGGAATCCCATTACCAATAGAAAATACTGGAAGGGTTTGATGGACATTGACCTTGAGTTTTGGAGTTGCAGTTCACTTACATCCAGAGAGCACTGTGGATTCAAATGATGATGAATCTGGACCAAGCTTGGCATGAATACTCAATGTGCCCAAATCTGAACACTGGTGGAGCTTGGGGGAAATAGAGCTTGACATTTCAGAGTTATAGTTACTGGAATTTATAGTTCACCTACAATCAAAAAGCATTCTGACCCCCACCAAAGATAGAATTGGGCCAAATTTCCCACACAGAATCCACATGACCAACAGAAAATACTGTGTTTTCTGATGGTCTTTGGTGACCCCTCTGGCACCCCTGACGACCCCCAAAGGGGTCTCAACCCGCAGGTTGAGAAACACTGCTGTAGACTCAAAACATCAAAATCTCAACATTGGGTTGTGTTGGACCATAATTTGCATTATTCCCAGATGGGGTACCCAGTGGTAATAAATCATGGAAGTTTTGGGTTGTTGTAGGTTTTTTCGGGCTATATGGCCATGTTCTAGAGGCATTTTCTCCTCTAGAACATGGCCATATAGCCCGAAAAAACCTACAACAACCCAGTGATTTCGGCCATGAAAGCCTTTGACAATACATGGAAGTTTGGGTCCAAAATATCCAGATCTCAGCTTCACTCTTCCAAGAGTGCATTGTCAGGTGCTTCTACCAATGGTAAAGCCATTGAAAAGAGCCCCATGACTATCATCTCCTCCAACATCTGGTCTATCCGACCCAAGTTGGGTGAGGTTGGAAGAAACACCTTGGTTTGCAGCCTCCGTATTGTGCAAAAGGATGGCAGAGATGCAAATTCTGGAGGATTTGGAGAAGGCAGCTGTTTCACTCAGACAGCATTGATCCCTGGTTAGTTGTCTCGTTTTAATGAGGCACCAGCAGCAGCATTATGCATTTGTGAGAAATGAAAGGAAGGGAACCAGTGAGGAGAACAGAGGGACCATTGCCATATATTAACTTTTCTCATAGGGAACTTCTTTGATTGCCATCTCCATTCCAACATCAGAGTGGATCATTTCCCCAGCTGGATTTAATGGGTGTGTGTGCATGTGCGTGATGTGCTGAGGGAGTCAGGGAGAAGGCCACATTCTTGTGAGTTTCCTTGCAACAAATCAAATCTGTATGCCGGAACATTCCCTAAGCCTCAAGGATTTGTCTCGCTATTTGTTTATCACCTCTCAGCCCACCAGGTTTGCACAGGTGAGGTACAGAAAACAAAGATACATCATTCATGTGTGTGGACGCATACATATGAATGATATTTGCACCTCAGATAGTGTATTGAGCAACTGAATAAAACAGATACCATATGTTTACACCATATGTTTATTTGATTGATTTGAGCATTTCAGCAATAACTATTTTGGTAAAGGTTCAGTAAAGCTTTTCCCCTGACATTAAGTCCAGTTGTGTCCAACTCTGGAGGTTGGTGCTCATCTCCATTTCTAAGCCGAAGAGCTGGCATTGTCCATAGACACCTCCAAAGTCATGTGGTCAGCATGACTGCATGGAGCACCGTTACCTTCCTGCTGGAGTGGCACCTATTGATCTATTGATGGGGATGAATAGTGATTTTATGCTAACGATTTGGCCTTATATAATTATATGATAGTACTTTAATGTGTTTATATTAGTGTATTATTGGATGTGATGTTTTAAACTATTGTGTATGAATTCCTTTGTTGTAAACCGACCTGAGTCCCTCACTGGAGGTGAGAAGACCGGTATATAAAAGTTCTAAATAAATAAATAAATAAATACTCACATTTGCATGTTTTTGAACTGCTAGGTTGGCAGGAACTGGGGCTAACAGCTTCTTTGGTATCTTACTGATATATGAGTTCCTCCATGGGAACAGTTAGACATTTTTGTTTGGAGCACAGTGGCTATTTTTAATTACTTTATTTTTTATCCCAACTTTCTCCTGATACAGAGACACAAAGCAGCTTCACTTCACATTCACTTTAAGAGTGGAGCAAGTGAGAAATCAAACCCTGGTCTCCAGAGTCCTAGGGTGCACCTACAGTGTAGAAAAAGTGCAGTTTGACATCACTTGAATGGCCTCAGATCCTGAGATTTGTAGTTTGGTGAGATACTAGTGCTTTTTGGCTGAGAAGGCTAAAGGCCTTGTGAAGATATGGTTCCATAGTACCCTAAGTTCAACATCCAACTTAGCAAATCCATTGCCACTGATGTTGTTTTCTCCTTTTGTGGCAAGGCAGGTCCCAAACCTGGAGGGCTCTTCTTCTTCATGGATTCCCCCAACATGTCCTGGTATGATGGCATCTATGAGAACAGAAGCCTCAATGAGTCTGGCCCAGAACCAAAGCCTGCCCACGAGTACAACTACTACGCCATGCTCCTCACCCTCCTCATCTTCGTCATCGTCTTTGGCAATGTCCTGGTGTGCATGGCCGTGTGTCGAGAGAAGGCTCTTCAGACCACCACCAACTACTTGATTGTGAGCCTTGCAGTGGCGGACCTTCTGGTGGCCACTCTGGTGATACCATGGGTGGTCTATTTGGAGGTAGGCACACCTGGGGGAAGGCCCATTATTGTCACTGTTGCTGCTGTTGTTGTTGACATATATGGAATAGAAGTCGTGAGCACAGATCAAGTTTGGGCAATGTTTATGTCCCAGGACCCTCCAAGGACTACAAGAACTGCTAAGATATTTTTTCAAGTGGGCAGAAGTTCATTTCTGGTCCTCAAAATGGGTATGTTTTATGCTGAGGACAAGGAAATGTTGCAACACATTTGAAAGGTAAATTGTTGCACTTGGAGGTTTCCAGGAGCATGAATTTGCTCTCTCCTTTAGAAAGAATCTCATACTTCTGGGAGTGTCAAGAGTGTCAAAGACTCTTCGAGGTCCTCTTTGACCTCCCTGGGTCAGTAGATTGTCTTCTGCTCTTGCTTTAGCCAGAGGGGGAAAGAATGTTCAAAAATTTGGAAAAAGGTCATATATGTAATATGTATATGTGTATGTGTGTGTGTGTGTATATATATATATATATATATATATAGTGAGAAGATGATGGTGAGGATAATCCTTCACCGATGAATCCTGAACTGTTGGAAGCCTTCATAGCTCAGGACGTAGAATTGGAAGAACTTCATCCAGCAGGTCCATCCAGTCCAATTCCTTCTAGACCAGTGGTTCTCAACCTGTGGGTCCCCAGGTGTTTTGTAGGCCAAAACACCTGGTCTTTGAAACCTTCTAATCACTATGTTAGTGACTTTATTGGAAACACAGCTAAGGCAATGCATTAGATTGCTTTTGATATTTTTTTTCTCTTTTGTGGAGAGAAAAAGCGGGGCAATAGTAGTAATAACCTATTTTGAGAAGGACTGAAGAAGAAAATGGTTTCAATTCAGTTTCAATTTAACCTATCAATAAAATCATTAATCTTCAGCAAGGCTGAAATTTACACACCACACTTTCTAGACATCTATTATCTGCAAATATTAAAGACATTTCCAAAGAGCTCTTCCGATACACATAACAGGCCATAGAAATGTATTGTAAAGAAATCCCAGCCAGTTTACCAGCTGTTAGGATTTCTGGGAGTTGAAGGCCAAAACATCTGGGGACCCACAGGTTGAGAACCACTGCTATAGTCTTACTCCAAATTCACACATGATTCTTTTGCAAAGGAAACATCATTTTTCTAAGTAGAAAGTTATGCTTTTGCATATGGCAGCATATGCAGCTCATTTCTGTGCAGAAAATTGCAATTTTGAGAAGAACTACAGAAGAAAATGGAAGCATTATGTCATAGTATGGGGTTCAGGGACCCAATGGAGTTGAGAAGAGAATATTACGATGTGTCTTTGCCTTTCTTTGGAAGCATTTATTTCCATTTTGGGGCTGAAATTGTCCTAAAATTGTGCCCATCCCTTGCTTTTCATATTGAGGACAAATGAAATGCTAGGTAGGCCAAACTATCTATTACCTTCACTTTCAATCAATTTCCAACAAGACTCATCTCCCAATCATAAGCCATGTTCCACATCCATTTAAGAGAGAGCTGCTTGTGCACAACATCTCTCTTGTTGATCTGCTAATCCCTTCTGAAGCCTCATGTCTCTCCCATAAAGGCAATGGCAGTGAGGGAGATTGGTGTAGCTTCCAAGGCCAAGGCCAGAGGCAGAGGGAGGTTCCTGACAGCTTGTTGGATGCGCATTCAAGTCAAGCACTGCTTGTTTCCAAATGCTCCTGGGCTGATAGGATTGGTACTGATCTCTCTGGACACATCTACAATGTCTGCGTTCAGAGAAATCAAGATCCAGCCAAAGGCGTTGCGCAAGGAACATCTGGAAAAGCAATGGAAGGTGTGATTTGCACAGTAGGGATTTACTGTGTGCCAATCTTGTTTTCTCATGGCCATTTGATGCATTAAAGGCCTCAAGAGAAGAATCAGTTCCATTGGGTTGTTGTAGGGTTTTTTTGGGCTATATGGCCATGTTCTAGAGGCATTCGCTACTGACGTTTCGCCTGCATCTATGGCAAGCATCCTCAGAGGTTGTGAGGTCTCACAACCTCTGAGGACGCTTGCCATAGATGCAGGCAAAACGTCAGGAGATAATGCCTGTAGAACATGGCCATATAGCCCAAAAAAAAACCTACAACAACCCAGTGATTCCAGCCATGAAAGCCTTCAACAATATATTAAATCAGTTCCATTTTCTGGTAGCATACACATACATATCATTGCATTGCTGTTGTTGAGTTTCTTCTCTTTCCAGGTGGTTGGGGAATGGCGATTCAGTCGCATCCACTGCAACATCTTTGTGACTCTGGATGTTATGATGTGCACTGCAAGCATCCTCAACCTTTGTGCCATCAGCATTGACAGGTAAAGGATCCCTCTTCAATTTATCTCTGGCCAAAACTCAAACTGTAGTAGCAAGACTGTCAACAAAGAACAAAACATGATTCCTCCTTCTCTTCTTGGACCTAAATTTCCTTTGATTTTTTACTTCTCAACTGTACTGGAGAGTTCCAAGTATGCACCACTGATGTGTCCCCTTTTTCATGTGTTGTGTTCCAAAGGTACACAGCCGTGGCCATGCCAATGCTTTACAACACTCGCTACAGCTCCAAGCGCAGGGTCACCGTCATGATCTCGGTGGTGTGGGTCCTCTCCTTCGCCATCTCCTGCCCCTTGCTTTTTGGGCTCAACAACACAGGTAAGCAGCACCATGCTCCAATATACATTGGTGGGGGCTGTAAGCGGAACCAATTCAATCTCCCTATAATGGGCAATCGTCTGCTCGTTGTCCATAACAAAGTTGCGTGTGGATGGGCGACACGCCTCCCGCCAACAACCAGAAAAGGCACGCACACACTGAAATGGGAAGGAAATGGCCACAACTCATTTATTGATTACAGGAACTGGAAGATTGGCAGCCAGGCATGGGTTCTGGATCAAGATCGGTCAGCCCGCTGCTGACCGATACCGCTACACACGTCAGGGTGCCACCGGCACAATACCGGGCTGAGTTACTCGGCATCCTGGGAACCACCAGATGCCCCCCTCCCACATGACTGGGTGGGGGAAAGAAAACCAGATCCAGATCCCATGCCACACACCAAGGAGAGTTGTGACGGGATAACAAAACCAAAACAGTGTTAACAATAACCAAACAACATGAGCGAGCAGGGAGGGTGGGATGGCAAGTTGAATCAGGCACAGTGCCTGCACGTGCGCTGGGCAGCCCTATAAGAGCTGCCAGACGGAGGGAGGAGGCTGGCCCTGGCCAATTAGCTGGCCGTGTAGGGCTGGCCGCTGGTTGGCCAGCTGTCCAACCGGCAGGAAAACTTCCCACGTGCAGGGGGCTTCTGGGAAGAAGAAGCCCCCTGTGACCTCATGGCTGGTGGGAGAGTGCCCTCCACTGCAACGGGCATCGCCAGTAAGTCCGGCAATGCATTACCACACAGAAAGTCAGCATTCTCAAGTACATCTACATAGCAGAGAATCGAGCACACGTTTCTTGCACCGATGTTGAGACTTGGTATGGTCCCAAATAAGGATCCCACCCCCTTATGAAATATTATTTCCTTCTCATATTTCTAGCATTGCATTACCAAAATGTCCATGGAGCATTTCTAAGTAGAGTATGACCCCTTTATCCATGGACTCAATCTCCATGGTTTCACTTACTCCCAAAACTATGCCCTCTCAGAAGTTATCGTTTGATAAAGCTCCAGAATTCTTGGGCAAGGAAGGCTTAAGACCTTGCAAAAGTACAATGCCCAGGATTCCATAGCATTAAGTCATGGCAGGTAAACTGGTGTCAAACTGCATTCGAATTATAGAATCAAAGAGTTGGAATAGACCTCATGGGCCATCCAGTCCAACCCCATTCTGCCAAGAAGCAGGAATATTGCATTCACATCACCCCTGACAGGTGGCCATCCAGCCTCTGTTTAAAAGCTTCCTAAGAAGGAGCCTCCACCACACTCCGGGGCAGAGAGTTCCACTGCTGAACGGCTCTCACAGTCAGGAAGTTCTTCCTAATGTTCAGATGGAATCTCCTTTCTTGTAGTTTGAAGCCATTGTTCCGCGTCCTAGTCTCCAAGGAAGCAGCAAGCTTCTCTCCTCCTCCCTATGACTTCCTCTCACATATTTATACATGGGCATAATGTCTCCTCCTTCAATTCCCTGAAATCTAAACAGCTGGTAATCTGGCTAGGATTTCGGGGAGTTGTAGGCCAAAAACATCTGCGGTCTCTAGACCTACCAAGTGCCATTCTATTGGTATGCTTTCGCAACCTAGTTGTAATCGGGCAAAATTAATGTAAAGTCTTACCTAGGCCGTCCCCTGCGTAGCATCACATTGCTGTGGCCGCCATAGGGGTTGCTGTGTGGGAGGCAGTAGGCAGGCATGTAGCCGGGGGGGGGGGGGCTGGGGGGGCTTCAGCCCCCCCTCCGAAATTCTCATGGTGACCCAGGAGAAGGCCTTACTGGTACATTATTTAAACTGTTATGTTTATTCATATCATGATCTGATCACCATGCTCAACATATCCCATATGCATGGGGGTATTATTGGGATTATTGTTTCGGGGTGGGGGGGGGGCTGAGTTTGGGGGGCTGAGTCTGAGTGAAAGAGGGTCTACCCTAGCAAACCTTTTGTATCGTTACCCCAATACCCCCATACATATGGGATATATTGAGAATGGTGATCAGATCATGATATTAATAAACATAACAGTTTAAATAATGTACCAGTAAGGCCTTCTGGACCACCATGAGAATTTCGGGGGGGCTGAAGCCCCTAAGCCCCCCCCCCCTACATGCCTGCTTCTTGGTGTGCATGGGGTATTGGGGTAACAATACAAAAGGTTTGCTAGGGTAGACCCTACCACTCAGACTCGGCCCCCCCCCCCCCCGTCTACCACACCTCCCCCCCCCCCCGAATCAAAATCCTGGCTATGGGCCTGGTGGGAGGTTTGACCCAGTTCTATCTTTGGTGGGGTTCAGAATGCTCTGTGATTGTTGGTGAACTATAAATCCCAGCAACTACAACTCCCAAATGTCAAGATTCTATTTTCCCCAAACTCCACCAGTGTTCACATTTGGGCATATTGAGTATTCGTGTAGAGTTTGGTCCAGATCCGTCATTGTTTGAGTGCACAGTGATCTCTGGATGTAAGTGAACTACAACTCCAAAACCAAAGGACACTGCCCACCAAACCCTTCCAGTATTTTCTGTTGGTTGTGGGAGAACTGTGTGCCAAGTTTGGTTCAATTCCATCATTGGTGGGGTTCAGAATGCTCTTTGATTGTAGGTGAACTATAAATCCCAGCAACTACAACTCCCAAAAGACAAAATCAATTCTTTGAGTGAAGGACACATACATTGGGCTGTTAGGTGTCTTGTGTCCAAACTTGGTGTCAATTCGTCCAGTGGCTTTTGAGTTACGTTAATCCCACAAACAAACATGACATTTTTATTTATATAGAATATTATACCTGGAAAGATTTTACAACTGATCCTCAGCAGATACATCAGTTGTATTGCACCAAAGATACTAGATATTTGAGAGGATTACTCTCTCAGTCTCTGGAATGCTAGAAACTTGGAAAGGAAAGTCTTATAGGGAATGGAATTCATATTTGGGGACAATGCTTTCATTCCTTCTGCCCATAGTTACCTCCTGCTCCTTTTTTCACACCCTGTAAGGCTCCACTAGTAAGAAAGTGTAAGATACATCTATATATATATATAAATGCTCTGGGCATAATGAGTACCTTAAAAACAAAAGAACCAATGAACAAAATCACACCAAATTTGGCAACAAAATGTCTCACAACACAAGGAGTGACCACCACTCAAAAAATTTTAAGATTTTGTCATTTGGGAGTTGTAGTTGTGGGATTTATAGTTCACCTACAATCAAAGAGCATTCTGAACTCCACCAACGATGCAATTGAATCAAACTTGGCACACAGAACTCCCATGACCAACAGAAAAGACTGGAAGGTTTGGTGGGCATTGACCTTGAGTTTTGGAGTTGTAGTTCACCTACATCCAGAGAGCACTGTAGACTCAAACAATGATGGATCTGGACCAAACTTGGCACAAGCACTCAATACGCCCAAATATGAACACAGATGGAGTTTGGGGGAAATAGACCTTGACATTTGGGAGTTGTAGTCACTGGGATTCACAGTTCACCTACAATCAAAGAGCATTCTGAACCCCACGAACGACAGAATCGGGGCAAACTTCCCACACAGAACCCCCATGACCAACAGAAAATACTTAAGGCCATCCAATCCAACTCCCTTCATCAGGGCAAGAAAATGTAATCAAAGTCCTCCTGACAAAGAGCCATCCAGCCATAGATAGATAGATAGATAGATAGATAGATAGATAGATAGATAGAGATAGAGAGATATAGAGATAGAGAGA